AAGCCAACTTGCCATTTTTTACATCTTCTCGTGTGAACTTGATGTATTTATCCACAGAGTTGATGTGGTCAGTAAAATGTTGGACTTCCTGAGATTTAATTTTAACCCAGGTGTCGTCAACATACCTGAACCAATGACTTGGTGGTGTCCCTGTGTCCAGAGGACCAGATTGAACTTTTTTGGACTTCCTTGATTGTTGATAAAACCAGCACCAGCTGAATCCAAAAAGCAGGAACTAGTTATCATAAATCCAGTTAAATATGCATCTTTAAAATCCACAAATGGCAGCAGAGATGGACACATCATCAAATCTTCCAAGTCGATGAGATATCCAGCTGTGTGCCAACAGGGCGAATCGGCTCACCTAAAGCCTGTCTTCTCTTCAAGAAATGTTGTAAATTGAGTTGAGGGACCAAATGATCGAAACAAGTCCATAATTATGGTTCAGAAGAAATGGAAGAGAGTCTCACAAGCAGTTTCACACACAGACAGAGCAGCAAAGTAAAGCGGAAAGGGATGGGGAGAAGCAGCCGATCTCAGCAAGAGCAAGTGATGAAGTGATAATATTGGACGCTGTCTAACACAGTGCGCTAAGATTCATAACTGGCTGTAACTACTGTACCCATCACTGCACCCACCAGTTCTGTAATGTAACGTAATCACAGTTCTGTGATGGAGTTAAACTCAAAGCAGTCTGCTCCTCAGACAAAGTCTTAAATTTGTATTTTAATTTATGGATGTTTCTGTTAGCTTACTTTTACATATGAATGTTTCTGTTCATTGCCTGAAATGACTTCTGTTGTGACTTGGCGCTATAGAAATAAACTGAATTGAATTGCACCCAGTATTCACTGGTTAACTGGACATCATTAACTTCACAGACTCTCCCACTGGTACATTTCCATCTTTAAATCACTTCTTGGTCTGCTGCCTTCATACATCTACTCCTAAATGTCTCTGCGTGAGTGCAGCTACAGCGTGCGCTCTCAGGACATCATTACCTGCAGTGTTCCCTCAGTGAGGACTGAACTAGACAGAAGGATCTTCTCCTACTCCGCTCCTGTTTCCTGGAATATCTTGTAAAAAGAACTGAAGCTCTCGACCTTGACCTCTCTAAGTGGCTTCAAACATCTGTTAAGTTCCTTGCAAGAACCAATGCAGACATGTTCCTGTTTTTAGTTTTTATATCGCTTTATAATGTAGCTGTTTTTGTTTTGTTTTATCACTTCTTTAATTTATTTTTTCATTTGTTTTCATTTGTTAAAATCAGGTCTCTCTTGTAAATGAGTCCTTGTGGCTCATTGAGATTAACCTGTAAAAATAAAGGTTGAATGAATGCATACATGTCATTTCCTGTGAAAATATTTAATGCTTAAAGAAGCTGAAACCAGCTGAGAAGTTTAATTGCTCAACTGTTGGTCTGAGCTGAGTTTGAACAGTTAACATTTGCTGAAAGCAGGAAAATAAAAGCAGAAAACAGTAGAAAAACAGTTAAAATGTGTAGAAAAAGTTGAATAGAACAAAAATGAGCAGAATGTGCTGATATAGAGGAAGAGGCAGATTGCAAAATTTCTCAAAAAGGCCATAAAAAGAATCTGACATGAGCAGAACAAAGCTGAAATTAACATAAACAACAAAAAAGTAGCTAGAAAAGCTAAAAACAAAAAAGAAATTATCAGAGAGCTGAAAAAGCATAAAACGTTGTAATTATTTGAAATAATTACAAAAAGCAAAAAATTAGCTAAACAAATGGCAGAAAATGCATTATGGCTTTTGCCTAGCATTAATGAACTCATTTTAACTAACTTTGACTTGAACTTCAACTTGAACTAACGTTTTCATTAACTTCACACAGACTCTCCCACTGGTACATTTTCATCTTTAGATCACTTCATGGTCTGCTGCCTTCATACATCTCCTACATTCTCAACTTGGTCAATATTAATAGTTTTAACTTTATACAACATAATCAAACACATGCAGCAAATGTCTGCATTTGCTGCATGTATTTTTCTTTTGATACAGCTGGGGGGTTATTTCAGGGACACGTTGGCTCAAATTTTATTGAGCTTCATCTTGCGCATATTCTATCGAGTGGAAAGTCTTCAGATGGAACAAGTTAGATGCTCCCATTGCTAGTTGGAATGACTCTCTGTCACATTTTGAAGTACACTGACTAAAACCCGCAGTTTATCGGATCTTAGATAGCCGAACCACTTCCACACCACCAAATTAGTCTTTCCTCTCATCAATTATGTCATTTGCTTTCTCTTTGCTATTGAACGCTTGTTCAGTCACATTCTGACGGTCATGGGCACTCATTTTGAAGTGAAAACAATGCACATTGGAAATTAGCCTAGCCTAGCCTGCTACCGCTAACACCTTCTGGACTCGAGCTCTGCATAACATCTACATCACTATGCACTTACGTAATTGTGTCACACCTTTATATGTTTGGGTTGAAACTGAAGCAGATGCTTAAACCCGAAAAGAAGAGTTGTGACGGTGGTAATGGAAGGCGCCATGGCCATCACTGTGTTAGCACACCTGCTGCACCAAACCCTATCCTTGCGACCCCAAAATAGACACCGTTGGACCATGAAAATAGCTATCCTTATTGGATGGGGTCTGGCCTGGGGAGTCTGTTATGTGCTATACTGGACTGGTCTCTGCACCACAGTACCAATCATAGTTTGGATGATGACTTATGCTGCCATCTTCAAAACCAGACCTGAACTTCTTCTTGCTGCACCGGAGGGGAGTGGAGGCCATGGAATCTCCATGGATTGAACCCCCGATCCACCGAAGATACAAAACTTAATCATTATAACCAACAATGCTTAAATTCCCCTCTGCTAACGCTATTATTAATCATTAATTTCATGTTTGTTTAAGTCCAGGTCAAATTGCTCGATGAGGTCCTTGATGTCGGCTGACGGCATGTATAGGCCAAGTAACGGTAGAGGGCCCCTGAAAAGCGATGGAACCCGGGGAAAAGAGAAAAATAAATAAATAATAAAATAAAAAATAAATAATAATAATAAAATAAATAAATGAATAAATAAATAAATAAAATAAAAAATATATTATAGTAGTTATATTGTAGTGTTAGATCTTGTTTTACCCCCTTTTGTCATTACAGGAGCATGAAGTAACCTGCTGTTTCTGTCACAAAGGATTGGCCGAAACAAAGTACCTCTGGGCTGTTGGTTCGTCTTGGTGGTGCCAGCGCTGTCATTCTGGCTTAGTGGCCAGGGCTGCGGTGAATGGCATTCTTGTCTCAGATGAGCCACATAGCCTACCGCAAGTATCGGCAGCAGTGTGTATGGAAACAGAACACACCTGCAAAGTCATCTGGACCTCGGCTCTGAACTCTGTGCCCTATCGACCAAGGGGAGCTATCCCACCACGAGCATCCTACTACCCAGTGGTAGCTAAGTTGTGGGAACACCTCCACGACGCAACCAGGTTCGTGGCAATCTATCTGTACACAGGGCTGCCCTTGGTCCATGGCCCATCCTTCGGGATTACGCAGGGATCATCAGAACCTCTGCCCCCGACATTGCCGGCCTCCTTAGGAGCAGACCTGGGAGCCACTCCACCACTGGTCCCTACTCCCACAATGACAGCAATTCAAGATTAGAATGCAAACCCACCTAACATCCATCTGGCACCAACCCTGATAATGACGACCCAGCATCAGATACCAGCTGTTACTTCGCCTGACCCACCACCTACAGGGGCTCAGCCTGAGACCGAGCCTATGGATGTGAGGGCAGCATCTCCTGAACCACCCCTTCTCTCCCTGGAGTGCCCAGAGCTGTATCAATTAGAAACCTACCTTGCTCATTTAGTGAGTACTGAAGTTGGTCCACCTAGCCCGGCCGACTCTACAAGCACTGCCCCTTATGAGCCTACCAGCCCTGAAGAATCCAACCCACCAAGCCTGATGACCCTTGATGGAACCTATCTAGACCCAACTCATCCTGATGGGTCAGTAACAGCCCCTCTAGAACCGATGCAAGAACGACCACAACAAGTGCCAGAGGTGTATGCATCGGTCTATTCGAATGAAGGGTGGCCCATCTTTGAACCCATCACTCCTGTGGGGTCTCCCATGAGTGTGGAGGCACCACCCCCTCAGCCTGTCATCGGCACAGCTCCACCGTCGCTTGAGGATGCACGTCACCCCAGTGATCCGGCATCTCAACTGGACGACTCACAGGAGGTCGACTCTGGCGAACTGATGATAGTGGATTACTGGGACGCTGCTGACAAGGAGGCCCAAAGCCTTGGGCCCAGTGACACCGAAGACCCAGCACCGTACCACGAGGATCCGATTAATCTGGATTACAAAGAAGACATCTTGAGTGTAGATACGGCTGATGATGACAAGGACTGGCTTAGAGCTTAGAGTGGGTTGAGGGAATAGTCTGATTCCACGGAGGGGGTGTCAATAGGGGCCACTTAGTGGAAGCCAGTGTGTCTCTCAAACAAGTTTAAACATGTCCTTCAAATATGTTCAGACATGTTCTCAGTCGGGCTGCAGTAGAAAGTTCCTAAGTCCAACTCAAGTTAATGGGAAACAGATGCTGGAGAAGGACACGCACACACACACAGGCACATATACACTCAAGCACACACGCAGACATTTTCCTAATGAACACTGTTATTCTTTAAATGAAGACACATAAACTGTTGATTTACAAACAAAATCAAGTAAATAATCAAGTTGATACTGTAATATTTTGTGATTCTAAAATGTATTCTGTGTAAGGTATTGTTTTATGATGTTGAGAGTTTAAGCAAGAAGTAAACTGTGTTCTCAGAAAATGTTTTCAGAAGCATTGTGCAAGCGATGAGCAGAGAGTATTTCACAATAATGAACCGGAAAGCAGCTCCAAGCAAAACACGAACCCTTATAAGGTATACAAAAGTTAAAAAAACACCTCAAACAGTTAGAGCAGACAAGTCCGAACTAGAACCGGATGAAATAAGGTGACACCCAGTTTTAATATTTATGAGGGTGACCTGAGCATATCCATAGGCATGCATGAAATCCTGAGCCAACTCCAACCCAAAAAAGGATGGACTGAGCGGGAGACATGCTCTTTCGGAGGTGTCAATCAAAACTACACTCTATAAATACAGACTGCTCTAACAAACTGGGCTGAACAACTACTGGAGTGTGTGGATTATAGGACATGTTTTGACGGTTCCAGCTGAGGGAGGAATAGGGTCGGATCCGGAGGAAGAACTTCATTTTGGAGTAATTCTTCACTTCAGCAAGGATCATTACCCGAAACCTTTTCTTCAAATTCAGACCAGCTGGTGAATCTGAGGCGGCCTCATTCGAGAAGCCGATATGGTAATCTGCTCCTTACTATGCCAGGTTTCTCAGGAATTCCACCAGAGAACGATGGTAAGGAGACGTCTCCAAGATATTGTCCTCTGTCAATCTTTATTTCAAATTAGAGCGGTAGCCTATAGATTAGTAAGCAGAGAGATTGATTACATATTGGGTTCCATTGCTTGGAGTTGCAGAAAGTTCGTAGAGGTGGTGAGAGATAAAATATATTGGATCAGGTTGTGAGTTGGAAGAGATTGTGAAGGGTTTTGGAGTGTTTTAGTGAGTCAGGACGACCTAGGAGTTCCTAGGGCGTGGCCGGCTAGAAGGAAAATAGCTGAGGCTGAACAGAGCGAACCTACAGCTATCCTCCAACTCCCCTCAGGAACAGAAAACTACTTTGCCCAGCTGAATGATCAACCTCAGAATTCTAACTAAAACTCTGATTAATCATCATGTATCCTCTGTGTAATTGAATGTAATCACTGTGTTAGATTGTGCATACCGCTGTTTCCCCTGCAAAATCATTGATTAAAGCAAAGCAAAACGTAAAATTCTGGATTCTTATTTCAACACCCCTTTGTTCATGGAAGTGGAAAACTTGGTTAAATGAAATAACAAAAGCACAGGGGGTGTTTAAAGGTTTCGTAGCTTTGATTATAAAACAACATCCATGAATCTTACACCTAGATTCTAAACAAAACCAGATCAGATAACAATTGCAACGCTAAATTAGGAAATGAGCTGCCGTGAACGTGCGCTTCCTTGTCTGTCCAACGTCCCCACTCCTGCTGCTAGGTTGGGCGAGACACAAGGTGAGATTCTGGGTGTGGTACACAGATAGTAGGTAGTTAACAGTCTGGGTGAATCCTCTCAACACAGCCTTAGACTAAGCAGTCCTGGAAAATAGCTACGGGTAACACCTGAGCCTCAGGATTAGTTTCAGACCCCTTGGAGGAGAAAGGCTACAGTGAGGGCGTGGCACGTGTCCTGTGTCTACCTCACTCGGGTAAGCGAAACAACGTAAATAAAAGTTTAAATGAACTGCATGTTGACCACGCGGTCACAGTACAAATATCCTACATTGACATACCATTATGTAAAGCAGTCGAAGATGCGATACCTCTGGTCGAATGCGCCATGAGGTTGTCAGGAGGCTCTAAATCTGAAGCTCTGTAGGCTTCAGAAATGGCCTCACACAACCAGTGTGACAGGCGCTTGGTGGATAACGGGTGACCTACAGATGCGTCTCTATAGTGCACAAACAAATGTTGAGTCTGACGCAATGTTGCCGTGTGTGTTACGTAACACGTCAACGCACGTAAAGGGCAGAGAAGATGGAAAGATGCTTCTTCTTCTGATTTGTGGGGAGGAGGGAAAAAATCTCTCCAACAATATCGCTCTTGATTTAAATGAGCTCGTGATTTTTTTAGACATAAACACTGGATTAGGCCTCAGATCAGCTGAGCTGCCATCAGCCTGAATTCTGAGACATGATGGAGTGACAGAGAGGGCAGATAAATTACTCACCCTCTTAACAGATGTTAAAGCCAACAGCAGGGCTGTTTAAAGAGACAATAATTTAATCAGAACCTGATCTAGTGGCTCGAATGGAGCTTTGATCAGGGCTTGCAGAACCAGCATTAAATCCCACTGTGGAGCAAGTGGGCGTGAAAAACAGGCCTGCGTCTCTATACACCTTTTAAAAAATGCTTCATCAGCGGATGGTTAAAATCTGTTCTGTCCCCGACACCTTCGTGACACGAAGAGATGGCTGCAGCGTACGTTTTAATCGTGCTGAATGCCAGATTTCTGTAGATCAGCTGCTGCAGAAAGGACAGCACACCACCTAGTGGACATGAAGTGGCCTCTACACCTTTCTCCGTGCACCAGCGCTGAAAAGCTGTCCACTTTGATGTGTACAGCGCTGTGGTAGATGCAGCACGTGAATCCTGGATCGTACGCACTACATCTTGAGAGAGACCCATCCTCTCTAAGCAGATCCGCTCAGCAGCCAGACCCAAAGGTGCTGGCCTATTTCTGGGTAACTCTTGATCCCTCCTCCCACCTGGGGGAGAGCATCCTCCCTCCACGGCAGTTTCCACAGGCGCCCCGATAACAGGTGTCGTAGAACTGGGAACCATGGGGCGTTCACGCACTCGGGAGCCACCAGGAGAGCTGTCAGTCCCTCCTCCTGAACTCGGTTCAGAAAACCGTGATATCAGAGGGAGTGGAGGAAATGCGTAAAGAAGCATTTTGGGCCACAGGCTGTGAGAAATGTGTCCACCCCTAGCGGTAGTTCGTCTCGCGGGCTCAGTGAGAACCATAGTTGAGACTGAGCATTCTCTCGTGTTGTAAACAGGTCCACGGCCGCTTTGCCAAATTTCTGCCACGTCTGAGCCATCAGCTCTGGGTAGAGGGTCCAGTCCCCGTGACGCGGACCACCACTGGACATCACATCCACCCCGCTGTTCAGAACACTGGGGGATGTACACTGCTCTGATGGAGAGCAGATTTTGGTGTGCCTAACACAGGAACAGTCTCACAATGTGTAACATTTGGGTTGAGCGCAACCCTGCTGGTTTATGCATGCAGCAGTCACTTGTTGTCTGTGTGAATCAACACATGTTGATTCCGCAGCACAGAGGCAAAGTGTTAAATCACATTCAAAACCGTGCAACACTCAAAAGACATTTATATGAGCTGCTGTTTGTGGTGGCCACAGCGCCCCCACAGCTTGAGACATGCATGTGCCTCTCCAACCTGACAGGGACGCGTCTGTGAAGACTGACATGTGTGACCTAGGTCTGCTGACAGGCACTCCCTCCGATAGAACAAGAGGGTTTCCCAGTGTCTCAGGTTGATTCTCATGGAGGGGGCACAGCAATCAA